GGACCAGAATAACTCCAAGGTCCTTTCCAACCCTATGATTCTTTGGTTTTCAATTTGTCTTAAAGAGCTGATACATCTGTGTCCTTCGCAAAAGGATACTCTGGGCTGAAATAGATTCCGTACGTGTTCTCTTGCTTCAACTGAGCCAGAATCCAAATGCATTTGATCTTGCAACACAAAGCAAGCATGTGTTTTACAAAAGGGATACATACTGTGGTTTTGTTTTTTTTACCTCTGCATCAAATAGAAAACGATGTAAAGATAAATTTTGACTCAGATGTTGGAATATTTCTTCTCTTCTAAGATGAAGGCCAGAACAGGAGCCTTAAAGTCATCCATCACTGTTCCTCTATTTCCAATCATATTTTTGCACTAGGTCAGGGATGCCCGCAGCCCGGATGCGTCACAGGCTGACCATGCCCACCCAGTTTAGTAAAGGGGGGAAAAGTCATGCTATGTCACATGACGACAATGTGACGCCGTGAGTTTGATACCTCTGCAGTAACTGGTTTTGGTTTCCTGATTTGCTTCCTATGCTTTGGTGGCTGAAAGTAGAGGGTGTAGGAGGTATTTACTGTAGGTATCAGCACACACCGGTAAATGGGAAGCAATTTCTTGATCTTTTAATGAATATATTCCATGCTATTTTTTTTAAAGTTGAAAGTATGACCCAATATACACTGTAAAATTTTTTACAAATCTAGTTATCTACCCTATTTACCAATTTAAGTATTAAATAACCTATTATTTGATTAAATCGCTCAAATGACATTCTCCAATTTCCAGTGCTTTGCAAAATAAGATTTTATGCATCAGATTATAGTTGGAGGATGGAGTATCAAATACCTTTGCAATATTTTTTTCCAGATTGGCAAGAATTTAAACTTGAGGGTGTTGTTATCCCATATTCATTTTCCAGTTATTCTTTATTGGAGGTATAATATGTCCTAATTTCCACTCCTAATTGTTCAGAACCAAATTACACAATAAAGTGCATTATTGTTTTGCTCACACTGGTTTGATATATCATTGTTAATCAGGCTTTTTGTATGAGTCCTTCAACCAATAGTTAATTTCACAAATGCCTGAGTTTCCTGAAGGGAAATGAAATTACATGTTAACCTAGGTCCGTGATGGCGAACCTATGGCATGCGTGCCACAGGTGGCACGTGGAGCCATATCTGTGGGCACACGAGCGTTGCCCTAGCTCAGCTGCAGTGTGCCCGCGCACACTGGCCAGCGGACAGTTTCTGGCCTTCGGAGGGCCTCCGGGGTGGGGGGGAAGGGTGTTTTTGCCCTCTCCAGGCTCCAAGAAAGCCTTTGGAGCCTGGGGAGGGCGAAAAACGGGTCTACCCAGCCCACCGGTAACCTTTTTGCCATCATGTGCCAAAAACGGGGGGAGTGTGGAGGTGTCACGGGTGCAGGGGGGCATTCAATTATGGGTATGCGCACACTCGTGTGCAACCCCCCCATGCTCCCCCCGCTTTTGGCACGCAATGGCAAAAAGGTTAGCCATCACTGACCTAGGTGGATTGCTGGTTTCACATCCTCCAGTGTAGTAATTGGATAAGATAGTTGTCAATCTGGAAGACATAGAAAGTTATCCCCATTAAATGCAGAATGAGTTGCTTCTATGTAAATCAGCTGTGTATTCTGCTGCAGGCTTTGGAACGCTGCTGAAAATGAGAAGAATAACATATCCCCAGCAGCTGTCTAAGCAGCTAACTAAATGAATGGGAAGCTTTCTAATTAAGAAAGTAAGATGAAGTAAGGCCTTTTCCAAAGTATCTATATTTTGGTAACTTCTAGACATTTAATAATAATTCTATAAATGTCTTTATCAAGCTGCTCAAGCTTGAGAGGCATTTAATATCACCGTTATCTTGGTTGGATTTGAATAGATGAGACAGAAATTCAGAGTTTAAGTCTCCACATTCAAACACGGAAGGCAGAGAAAGTGAATGCTTACTATAGTTGAATGGATGTTTTGTCATAAATGTGAGCGTGAAGCTGAAGAAGTTATTGAGATATTTTTTAGGTCATGATCTTTATCAAAAGGTGGGTTTGGTTTGTGGTTCCTTCCTGCATTATTTTTTTTTTTTGCCTTTGTTTATTCCCTTGAGAGGAAGCTGAAGCTAACATGATTAATTTAAAGAGGAGATCGGCCATTCAAGAAAACATGCCAGGAAATTATCTTGGCAAACTTGGCTGGTTGTATTTGCATTTTCCTAAAAAGGAAATGTTGAGACAAGGCCAGGACTGATGAGAAGAAATTATAATGGGGGATTTGAGATATACTGTACAAAGTGGTTCATGTATATTAGCTTGGATCTGATTGTCAGCTGAGACTGAAATGGTGGCTTCTGTGGAATGATTTTGTGGATGACAAGATTTGACCTGAGACCATCCCAGCATATCTTCTTGTTTGTTTGGCTAAACTGTGAGAAAGCCAGGTGGCCAGAAGATCATCTATTCCAGGTCAGATTCTGTTGGCTATGACTTGCTCCACTGACACCTTTTTGGAAAAGTTGAAGCTGCCAGTTCTAGAATCTGACAGTTGCCTTGTTCTGCCAAAGTACTTAGTGCCAAAGAAAATTCTTCCCTCATCTCTAAGTTTCATGTTTGCTGATTGAACTAGAAAATGGAAAGAACATGTGACAGTTTCCAAAGAAATGCAACCAGCATATTTTCATTTTGCAACACCATTTACAGAAGGGACTCTACAACTGTGTTGAATTTTCCCCATGCAGTCTCTTGCTCAGGCTGCTGCTTTCAATGATGGGAAGTTTTCACATTGCCACATTTCTATACAAGGCTGCTATTTTGGGATCCAGCTTACGATCAATTCTGCGGAAGAAGCGGCTTGGATGAGAATTAGTCTTTTCCCACAATTTAGCCAGGTTTTTAAAATAGGTAAAACTATATGCACCCTTCTAACATAACAGCTTTTCTATTTTGCAGAGCTATTGTACTAAGGCTAAAATAAGAATTAAAGTAATTCTAACCTTTTTTGGAGAAGAAGAAAAAGTTAAATGAGAATCCTCTCTTTCAATAGGGCATTTTCAAGCTAAAATATATTAACTAAACTTGAATATGAGTTGTATTTTTTTTAAAAAAGTAATATGCAGCTGTATCTTTGGTATTGATTAGCCCTCTGCTTGATACAAAAAAGGTAAACTGATAATTCCACAAATGAATTAATCCACACACAAATCTGGCTTTTTAAAAAATAATAGTTGATTTACCAGAGATAATGGCTAGAACTAACTGCATGTGTTTTGCTGCAGTGACTTTGTATAGGGAAATGTAACAGGAATAGCTATAACCTGTCACTTGAGACTATAAAAACTATTTCTTAACCCATTTAAAAGACCTCTATGGTATCCATTTTAAGTAATTTGTGTTAGAAATAAATAATTCTTCCCCTATGTAATTGATTTTCCAGTTCAACATTTTATCCACTGTGGGATGTTATTATGGTTTGTCTTTGCCGAATCTACAGAAACAGAAATGGAAACGTGTCCATTTACAAAACATGCCTTTAATAATTCTGCTATTTCAAAATTCATATTTAAGGGGATCTTGTGAAAGTGACCTCCTAATTCTGCCCCACTCTTATTATTTTGCTTATTTACTGATCCACAGTAAATTGTGACCACAATCATATGGTTGACTAGTTTCTCTGTGAAGAGAGTTAATTGGAAGGAGAGAATGGTAATTTCATCCAATCCTTCACTTAAAGGGGATTTTCATTGGTGTGTTTGGCTGTGTAATTTTTGCCAAGGTCATAAACATTTCCATTACATTTCAAGTTCAACAAATGTAGAACTGGATTGTAATTTAGAAACTCCCAAAATGTACATTTTATTTTTAGTAATCTCTGAAAACAACTCATGGAGAAAAAAAATATGCTTGCTAAGAGTTGACACTCTTTTGATGGCACAATCAGTCAATGAAAACAACCAGAAGAAAGGGTTCTGTCAGATACCTCTTTCAGTTGTGCTGGGACTAATCTGGGTATTATAAAGAGTATGGAGTTATTAATTTTTTATCACATTCAATATAACTATCTTGAAAATTTCTACTTGTCTTTAGTACTCTTTTTTTTTTCTGCTGAAGATTGCCAAATCCTGTTCTGGCTCTACTCTGCTTCTTGTCACACCATCCAGGCGTGGCCAGAAAATGGTTCTGTGGAACAAGCAGGACAATAATACCCTAAATCCTTTAAAAAAAACCTGATAGTTGGGTTTCTTCATTGGTTAACAAAACATAGCAGAGGAAGAATGGAAAAAGTTAAAGGTGATGACACTGGGAACAAACACACTTGACCTCCATAGAGAATCTTTCGTTTTGCTTCCCACTATAATAAATATGATCTAGCTGTTTGTATGATGCCAGGCTCTTTTATTAAAGTAATTGTAAACATTAAAATATGATCTAAATAATTGTTTTATTGGGAAGCTGGTTTTCCTTTCCTCCCTCCGTAAATGAGGCTTGCAGGCATTGTTCCTCATTGGACAACATCCGAACTACTGTATATGTTTTAACAACATTCAGGTAACTGAATGGGAAGAAGAGACAGGTCTTTACACAAGACTGTACACAATCTTAACATATGAAAATGAGCAGCATCCCCCAAAACGATGAACTGCAGTCTGGAGGGCCATCTCAGCAGCAGCCCCAATGGACTGAGAAAACTCCAGGTTTCGGAAGGCTGATGCAGAACATAGTGAAATTCTTTGCTCTGTGTCTGCTTTCTCTCTTCCCAGAGTTTGAAGGGAAGTTCATTGAAAGGCAAAATGAACACATTCCTTTCATATAAACTTTGTGGTTGGTCTTAAATATAAGCCAAACTGGACAGAAAACTTGCAAATAGTAGGTTTATATGAGTATGTGGTGTTGTATATGTTGCCTCTGATGAAGGCCCTAGGTGGTAATAAATAGGAAGTACTAACTAGTCTTTTGGAGGCTCTTAACATTTCTTTCTTTTCTTACATTAGGATGGAGAAGAAACATTTAATCGTGCAAAGCTTCTGAATGTAGGCTTCACAGAAGCATTGAAAGAATATGATTATGACTGCTTTGTATTTAGTGATGTTGACCTAATCCCGATGGATGACAGGAATATCTATAAGTGTTACAACCAGCCCAGGCACCTCTCTGTATCTATGGATAAATTTGGATTTCGGTAAGAAGTTGGTTGTTTACATTTAGCATAAAACATATACCAATATGAGGGAATTACTGGGAGTTGGTGGCAAATAAATATAATAAATAATCTCTAGTCTTGGGGATCCGGAGAATATGACTGTATCTACTCTTGCATTATACTATTGGAAGGAGGGCAGATTTTCTGTTGCATGTTCTCTGTTGGGGCCCAAACCAATATTTAGGGGGATCTTGAAAGTGATTCTTTTTGAGTCATAGCTTGTGTCAGTGGAGTACCTTCACAACTAAATGTGGCATCTGTTCTAATGACACTCTAATTATTCTTACTTTTTTTAACTGTCCAGTCTAGCTTCCAACCTTATATTCCCATCTAAGTGCTAACCAGTCCCTACCTTACCTTCCGAGCTTGCCCTCCGACCTCAGACAAGGTTACCTAGATGCTGCTGACAGCTCAGTAAAGCTTGAATAATAGTATATGTATACATATACATATACAAATACATATGTGTGTGTATAAAATTTATACACAGAGACACACGTGTATAAATATGTATATGTTTATATGTAGCATAATAAAAATATAAATTTAACGAAGAACTTTTTTTTACAAAATTAAAACTATAGAAAAATGAAAACATATATAGAAAAGCAAAAAAGATATATAAAGATAGGAAAGAAAAACAGAAAAGAGTGAACAACAATATGCTGTAGATCCAGAAAAAAGAAAGAAGAAATATTTAAAGAAGCAATTTATGATCTTTGCAGCAGTTACAAACATAGCTAGTACTGTTTCCATCCTCTCGAATAACAGAATTATTCTTCCTATATAAACCTATAAAAATGAACCATAGAGCTCATTTTTTTCCATTTTCATCAAAATCTCCATAAAAGATTTCCAGTCTTTTAAAAAAGTAGTTTTGGCTCCTTCCAACTTGAAAAAATGGTTTTAATGAATTCTGAACTCTGATTTCAGAAAAGACAGACTTATATATTGGCACAGACAAGTTTACAGGAGTCTGATGTGACACGTCACTTTTTCTGATCTCTTCCATCAAGAATTGTGACTAGAGATATAATCCAAGCTTCTCTGTGATCACATGATTTTAAATGAACAATTTATCTTTGTCTCTTCCAGCTTACCTTACAATCAGTATTTTGGAGGTGTGTCTGCTTTAAGTAAGGAGCAATTCCAAAAAATCAATGGGTTTCCCAATAATTATTGGGGCTGGGGTGGCGAAGATGATGACATTTATAACAGGTAAGATCCCTCATCTTTTTACGTAATGTTGAATTTGGGGCTGGGTATGTTGTTTAGTTTTGGGGCTTGTGCCTGGTATAGTAGTTTCTCTCTGTGCCATTTGTTGATTGTTGATATGGTTTCTTCCTATATTGCTTTGGTATGTAGCCTTATGGGTACAAGAATGCAAATCCAGAATTTAAGAAATATTTGCATGTGAAGAGTTTGTCTTGACAAACATGGCTACGGTCAGTGGTGGGCGCTAAATTTTTTAAACAACTGGTTCTCTGCCCTAATGACTGGCTGGGTGGGTGTGGCTGGATGGGGGTCATGTTGACTGAGTGGGCATGGCCAACTCTATGTCACTTGTGTGGGTGGTACCCAGGGCCGGATTTAGATGAAAAGAGGCCCTAGGCTATTCCACTTATGAGGCCCTTTCACCTATAGTGAAAGTGTAATTTTAATTTTGCTAACAATTTGAATGCAGGCCCCTCTTGATCTTGAGGCCCTAGGCTGAAGCCTACTTAGCCTATAGGAAAATCCGGCCCTGGTGGTACCTGTATGGGATAGGCAGGGTTGGGGAGGGAATCCAGGAGTCTCCAATGGGGGGGGAGGAAAGAAAGATCCAACCTATTTTGTGTGTGTGTGTGAGAGAGAGAGAGAGAGAGGGAGGGAGGGAGGGAGGGAGAGGGAGAAAGAGAGAGAGACTGCGTCAAGCTAGACTGGGAAAGCTGGCTTCAAGAGGAAGAGAAGCTGGGTAAGCTGGACCCAGACACTTCCCGGGTTCCCTCATCCCAGAAGCAGCAACCTCACACTCTCCCCTCTCTGCTAGCCCCCTTCTTCACACGGGATCACCCAGCAGCAGAGATAGAAAGGGTGAAGGGGGCAGTGGCGGCCACTAACATTGAGGGTAGAGTGCCACACAGAAACAGGATCACATAGAAACGCCTCCTCCTTCTCTGTCTCTGTTGCTGGACAATACCATGTGAAGAAGTGGGCTAGCAGAGAGGAGAAGAGTGCCAGGTTGTTGCTTCTGGGACAAGGGGACCCAGGACATGTCTGGGTCCAGCTCACCTGACTTCTCTTCCTCTCGCAGCCAGCATTTTTGGGCCATTTTCAGGCTGTTTTTGGGGCTATTTCAGGCCGTTTTTCGGGGTGTTTTTGGCAGGAAAAGTTGGCTGAAAATGCCCAAAAACAGGAGAGTGTGGGCCAGCCAATGGTCCAATTTGCCAGTTCTCCGAACTGTGCAGAATCGGAACAACTGGTTCAGGTGAACAGGTCCGAACCGGCAGCAGCCCACATCTGGCTACGGTGGCCTAAGGAATTTCAGGGCCTTCAAGCCATCTTTGACTTAGAGCAACAATCATCCAGAGCCCAAATGTGGACAAAAGAGCCAGTATCAATTTAGTTCAGATTATCATCTCTGGAGGCTACTAATTTGTTTAGAAACTAAAATTGAGAATCCCTATAATCCATGTACAATAAAGCATGGCTTATTTAATTAAGCCATGCTTTTTTTGTGTGGTGCTTCCCCTATCATTGTCCATTATTATTTCTGAGTACCAATCTAGAAGGGGATTGTTGAAGATACATTTATTTTTCAAATACTAGCCCGCTTCCCTCCTATTAAGTGCATCTATTTCTCTTACCCTGACAGTGTATTGTATCATCAAGGAGCCTTGTTGAGACTACAGTAAATGGCAAGAGGTTTTCATACCTGTCCCTGTGTCAGTTTCTTACCTGTTAGTGAAATGAGTTTTTGTCTTTTAAAATGATCTCCCTGCCTTGTGTTCTGTTTTCTTCAAGATGCAGGTGTGATAGAACTGAGAATCGTCTACCCTCACCCATTTCTTAAACAAATCTATCTTTTGCTTCAAATAAAATGATTGCTTATGTTAGTATTTATAACTGCTGGGCTAAGTCCATATACTGCAATCAAGATATCATAAGGTTTTTTAAAATTTTATTTTCATTAGGATGTTCTGCTACTTAATGACTCAGTAGTATTCTTTCAGCACTTTGCTTACGCTTAGAAGAACATTTTTAAATAACTCTCCAACCAAGTTCTTTTCCCTGCCCCTGCCACCTCACCTGTGTTGTGATATTTTAGTTGGATTACACAATAAAATATAAAGCCAAGGTTGTTGTGCAATAAAATCAATAAGAACTCCCCTCACCAAATAACGAGTCCTTTGTAAACATCCTGTGAATTTTTCAGCTTGAAATCTCAACTATAATATTCCAACTATAAGGAATTCAAAAAGATACTCTGAGCATAAAGATATTGAATGTCTACCCATCCTGCAGTATAATTGATTGACACACGGATGTCCTGTATCATTCCTGCATTTTCTGTGCAAGTTTCAAGTACTTTCCAGCTTCTACATGATGTACATGAGTCTCAGAGTTACTATTTTTATGTGACTTGGTGTGATGTACAATCATAATGCCTATAAGGAGGCATTGAACTAGAGATCTAAATTTAAAGGACTTAAATTTTGTGAAAGTCCAGCATATTGCTGATCAAAGGTCTATTTTAAAATGGACATTCTGAATCTAGAATCCGTGCTAAATTATATGGAAGTTATGCTTTTCTGAATCAGCTACATATGTGAACTTGCTACTTGTTTGCTCTAGAACAAATCCAAATGCCTTCTTTAACTCAGATTGGAACATTTTAAGAAACACCTTGGCACATTGGCTTTAGATGACACTTCAGTGGAGGTTTCTTCTTTTTAGATAAAGATATAAGTATTCACTATGGGGATAGTTTTATTTTTATTGCTTGAAATCAGGGGTGTCAAACTGGATTTCTTGGAGGGCTGGATCAGCATTGTAGTTGTCCTCCATGGGCCAGGTCGGGGGGGGGGAGGAGATGGGATGGACAGCCTCCTGCAGCACCCAGCTGGCCAAAACAGGGCATGGGGTGACTACGGGTGGCCCCCGCACACCCTGTTTTGGCCGGCAGGGTGCTTCAGGAGGCTGTCCAGGCCAAAAACGGTGTGTGTGTGTGTGTGTGGCCCATTTTCACTAGCAAAGCCACTGTATGCCGGTCCTTTGCTATTTCCAGGCTGGCCCCATGGGCTGGATCTAAGCACCCCATGCGCTGGATCCAGCCCGCAGGCCTTGAGTTTGGCACTCCTGCTTTAAATGAAAGTTGATGTATGTGCTGCCATTACTTTGGTTTAAGATCTGGTTTCTCTTGTTGACTCCTACCATGTTATTGCAATGAGGGTTAATGCTAATGCCATAATAAACCAGCTCATTGCCTATAACTAATGTATAGCTCTGGCCTATGACTATCAGCCTATGACTTTGTGGAGCGTCTGTGTTTTTATGTCGCTTGGAGACAATGTTTGCCATAGCATGCTGGAGAGTGGCTAGCTCCATGTATATGCTAGAAGGAAGTGAAAGATTTCACAGGAGTCCTGCTAAAACAAACCAAAGGCCTATCGGCATTTTGTGAGTCCCATTAGCACAAGGACACTATTGGCCTTCTGCTCACATCGAGATTAGAACATTATTGGCCTTCTGCTCATATTTTGCAGCAGCTGATACTTTGAGACATTTTTTCTCTTACTCTGATGGCAATAAGCAACATCATGATTAAAAGCAGGGCCGGATTTTCCTATAGGCTAACTAGGCTTCAGCCTAGGGCCTCAAGATCAAGAGGGGCCTACACAGTGGTGGGATTCTGGGGGTTCTAGGGGGTTCGGCCGAACCCTTTGTTAAATTGCTGGCTCGCCCGCCCCTTGCCTCCCACCCACGCGGCGCCACCCTACCGTAGCCAGGGGTAGGCAATTGTGGCTCTTTTACAACCTGTGGACTTGGCTTGGCTGTCTCAGGAATTCTGGGAGTTGAAGGCCACAGGTTGTAAAAGAGCCACAACTGCCCACCCCTTCCCTAGCCTGAGTTCCACTGCCTGGGATCCACGTGGGCTGCCACGTGGTTCCCCACCGGCTCCGGACGCAAGAGAGCAGGATGGAGAAAGCAGCTTCCATGCCTTCACTCACCCTCACTCTCTGCTCTGTTGGATCACCGGCCGTTCACTTACCCCGCCCATTCCCAATCTATTGCTGCCTCCGATGGCTAGAGGAAAAATTCTTGCCGCGGGGCTTCAAAGGGCTTAAATTCTTGCTGCGGGGCTTCAAAGGGCCGCCCTAGAGCCAGTGGTGCAGCCGAACCCTTTGTTAAATTGCTGGCTTGCCCCGCCCCTCCGCACCACTATTTATTGCCAATAAATAGTGGTGGGCGAGGGGCGGGGGAGCCAGCAATTTAACAAAGGGTTCGGTGTTTTTTTTGTAATTTTATTGGCCCACGGAGCTTCAGCATAGGCTAATTGGCCTCCCGGCTCTCAGCTGATTTGTCTCAGCTGTTTTGTTCAGGGCTCTTCTGCTTCCTTGCAAAGAGTGCTGATTTTTTTTCCCCTAGCTATGCTGAGAAACGAAAGTGAAACTGCTTTGCTGTTGCTGCAAGTTTGGAAAATTAGGCAGGCAGAATTCTTTTCTTTTTCCTCACCAAAAAAGGTAGGTGCAAACAATGGGAAATTTAGGGAAAAAGAGGAGAGTTCAGGATTTTAAAACACAAAAGAAAAAAAGGTCTATTTAACTAGGGAATTGTAATAATTGAGATACTATTAATTGTATATTTCTGAAAGCAGAAATGGTTAAGTTGTGGTTTGGAGGAATATATGGGGGAAATTATTTGGTTTATTATTATTGGTAAATATAATTAATTGATTTGTAAGAAATTGGATTGCATGGAAATAATTGGAATATTCATGTTCATATTGATTAATATACAAAAAAGGTAGTTATATAACTAATTGATTTATATTAAAATGTTGAATTTATATTAAACAACTAATATTACATAATTAACCAATGTGAGGATAAAAATAGATGACAATGGGAAGGGGTATAATATAGAATAGAAGGGAAAAATTGAATTTGATTAAGATTAGAGATGAGGATGAAGGGTAATATTGGTTTTTTACAAAAATAGATGAGGAATAAATATGGCAAAAAAGAAATATAGAAATTGTAAATTTAATTGAAATGACTAAACACTGTTTAAATTTGTGAACCGGCCAAATACTCTGTTCAAAGAAAATACATTGTATGTTTGTATGTGTGTTTCTAATTATTGTTATTTATTCATATTTGTTCTCTTTTATTCTTTAAAGTTTAACAATTCATTCTTTATCTTAATACCTTTATATTTGTTTGGGGTTGGCTTTCTTCCCTTTCATCTTTTTTATTGTACAGCAATCTTTCTCCTCAAACCTACCACCTCTCTCTTTTCTTTCCTTCTTACTTTCTCTTCCTCCCCCTCTTCTTCTTCTCCCTACTTCCTCTTCCTTTCTCCTTCTCCTCCTTTCTTCCTCCCTCTCTTACCCTCCCTCCTACTCTAATTTCCCTTCCCTTCCTTCATTCCTCTCTATTGCTGTATGCTTTTATGCATATGTACTACTCAGAGGGCTGAAAAAGTTATTTTTTACTGGTCCTTGCACTTTTGACCAGTCCTCGAACTTACGACTGTCCTCACATTTTACGTTTTTGCCCTATCTTGTCACCATGGTGAAGAGAAGCAGTTGTGAAATGAGTGACATGGTTGTTAAGAATGCTACAATGGGCATAAATGATGACCAGTCATAAGTGCGAAGACCGGTCAAAAGTGCGAGGACCTGTCAGAAATCACTTTTTTCAGCCCTCTGGGTAGTCCTTTTCTGCATATGGACTACTCAGAGGTCTGAAAAAGTTATTTTTGACTGGTCCTCGCACTTTTGACCAGTCCTCGAACTTACAACTGTCCTCACATTTTACGTTTTTGCCCTATCTTGTCACCATGGTGAAGAGAAGCAGTTATAAAATGAGTGACCTGGTGTTAAGAAAGCTGCACGGGCATAAATGTGAGGATGGTCATAAGTGTGAGGACCGGTCAAAAGTGCGAGGCCCAGTCAGAAATGACTTTTTTCAGCCCTCTGAGTAGTCCCTATGCACATAGCCACGCCCACCCGGTCACATGACAAGCTAACCACGCCTACACAGTCACGTGACCAGCTAGCCATGCCCACCCAGTCACATGATTGCCAAGCCACACCCCCAACTAAGCCACGCCCACAGAACCTGTTGTTAAAAAAATTGAATCCCACCACTGGTGAAAGGCCTCATAAGTGGAATAGCCTAGGGCCTCTTTTCATCTAAATCCGGCCCTGATTAAAAGCTATGAATGGATTAATTTGCTTTTCAAACCTTTGGCAACACTTTGAATAGCAAATTCCTTAGTTCAACTGTGCACAGCATGTAGGGTTTCTTTTCATCTGCCTTAAATCTTCCACCTTTCAGCTTCAGTGGACCATCCTGGAGGTGGCCTTAATAGCAAAGCCTTCTCTTGATTATTTTCTCACCTCTTGCGTAACTTCATACACCATTTGTCAAATATTTACAGACCATGAATCACTTGCATTTTCCTTACCAATGGTATTAATTTTAGAGAACAAACATTTGTATGGCAGACGCAAAGTAAACTGCAGTGGCCTGCTTCCAAAGGGAACCAGGGAACATTGCAATGTTCCTTTTCTTGCTGTTTTAGAAAGCAGGTGATCCAGGGACATTACTCCATGCTCCATGCTATTCAAGGGTCACCGCTCTCCTTGTCTTCTAGCACTGGTCTCTTGATTTATACCAAGTGAGAGGCTGTCTGCCTGCTGTTGGGTCAAGACTTTAGCAACAAAGCAAATAGTGTTTCTACTCAGTCCCTTTGAATCCTTGTTTCCTTGGCACATACTACTAGGTGCACATTGTGTTTGGGATGAGCAGGAAGTGTTTTATGTCAAGAGGTGTTAAGTCTGGCAAACAGAAGGAAAATATGCTTAGCATTTAACGGTCACCAGGATTTTTAGATGGTATTCTTAGAATACCGTCAAGAGAATGAGAAATACCAGATTCTGATTTATACAAGAATCCATTTCTGGGCTCTTACTAGTAGTCCTGCTCTTTAATTCTAAATAAATTCTGTTCACAATTTAGAGGAAAATGTTCTTTCGGGAAGCTCAGAAATATACTTAGCAAATTTTACTATTATTATTTTTATTATTATTTATTTATTAGTCATATTTCTATGCCGCCCACTCTCCAAGGACTCTGGGCGGCTTACACCAAAGACAGTATACTAAATAGCATATTGCCCTCAACAATCTGGGTCCTCATTTTACCCACCTCGGAAGGATGGAAGGCTGAAAGCAATAATGTTTAGAGTTACAAGGTCACCAGCATTTCCTGTTTCTCATTTACTTGTTTTTCAACCCTCATGTTCTTTGTTGCTAAACTGACACTACCATTATTTAACATTATTTTCTTCCTACTTTGTCAAGGGGCACGTATGCATTTATTTATGTAAGCATTTTTGTTTGCACCTTTCCTACAATAGCTGGATAGCAAGGAAGTCAGGCTTAAAGAGGCTGGGAGTTGAGGCGCAACCTTTCTCTGGCAGGCAGGACATCTTATGGGTAGGCTTTTAGAACTTCAAAGAAGAATCATGAGATCTTCCCCTTATTCATCTCTTCTGACCATCTAAGCAGATCATTTCTATATGCTTAAGTATGGCACCTTGCCCTTGAACAAAAGAGTGGATTAAAATAGAACTGTTGACTTGAGATCTTCAGTTAATTACTGCAGCCTTAAATCATATTAATTAATGGGGGAGAAGTTCCTTGATATTGATGTACCTGTTGTAGTCATAATTTTTATGTAGAATGAAATACAAAGCATGGGTTGAGTTAATGACTAACTTTGGTTAAAGGGATGTCACATGCATTTCTGAGATAAGGTTTATTTATTTAGCAGATGGCATTTCATATATGAACTACCATAATATATTAACATGTCGCCTAGATTCAAACACAATAAAATATACATGTTAAAAAGTTCTATGTCCAAATCCAAATATCTAGGCCACTTAACCATTCAAGCATAGCATTTCCTGTATTAAAAAAAAATCAGATACTGATCTGGTCTATGCCCTCAGCTTACAACTGGTCACGATGTGATCTACAGTTTGACGTGACTGAGAGGAGGATACCATGCCCCATTTATACAGACAGTCCCAGCACCTGCCATGTGAGGTGCAAATCTTAGTCAGCATTGTCCATTGCTGACGTGATAGTTCAAAGCCTGGCTCCTTTTTTGTGGGGTCACTTATATGTCTTATATCTGGGCATTCAGCAACCTATTTCGCTTTCCATTGGGAATCAATATTAAAATTGTTGGGCAGATGTTGTGCAAGTGCCGTTGGGGGCTTCCTGGATTTGAATCTTCCAGCTTGATAGATGAGGAAGGTCAGCTGCACTGGTAGGGATGAATTGTTCATAATTTTTCTGTATTCTCTCACTAGTGCACGTTGCCTTCATAAAGGTGATGATGCTATATGGCTCAGAACTGGAAGCCAGCATTGGTTTTAATACATCTGCTTATAATCCTCATGGTGTGCTTGGGTCTGACATCTAATTTACTAGTATGGCAGCTGTTATGCCACACAGGGACACAGTATTCTACTGCGGAGTAGCAATAACACTTGGACTGATATACCGCTTCACAGTCCTTTATAGCCCTCTCTCTAAGCTGTTTACAAGGGATGTGGTGGCTCAGTGGCTAAGATGCTGAGGTTGTCGATTGAAAGGTGGGCAGTTCAGCTGTTTGAATCCCTAGTGCTGCGTAATGGGGTGAGCTCCTGTTACTTGTCCCAGCTTCTGCCAACCTAGCAGTTTGAAAGCATGTAAAAAATGCAAGTAGAAAAATAGGGACAACCTTTGGTGGGAAGTTAACACCGTTTCATGCGCCTTTGGCGTTTAGTCATGCCAGCCACATGACCATGGAGACGTCTTCGGACAGCGCTGCTCTTCGGCTTTGAAACGGAGATGAACACCGCCCCCTAGAGTTGGGAATGACTAGTACATATGTGCAAGGGGAACCTTTACCTTTTATCTTTTTAAGCAGATTACAGAGTCAGCATATTTTCCCCAACAATCTGGGTCCTCATTTTACCGACCTCGGTAGGATGGAAAGCTGAGTCAACCTTGAGCCGGTGAGATTTGAACTGCAGAACTGCAGGCAGCTGGCAGCCGGCAGCCAGCAGAAGTAGCCTGCAGTACTGCATTCTAACCACTGTGCCACCACTACGTTCACCACAGAGTAGACCAACCCTAGTGCCTGATGACCTGAGGGTGACAGCTGAAGCTCCCCATTTAGTTCCACATAATTCCTGGAATATGCTGTTATAAATAATGGCAACAAACTGAGATAAGGAGATTGCTATGGCTCCTTAAAAGAAAAAAAGAGGATGTTCACATAACAGAAACCTGACCTTTTATTTGCCTTTGCAGATTGGTTTTTAAAGGCATGGGGATTTCTCGCCCAGATGCTGCGATTGGAAAATGTCGAATGATTCGCCACATGAGGGACACTAAAAATGAGCCCAATCCACAGAGGTAGGTCCTTCATGCTACTTCTGCCCACATAGATCCAAGTAGCCTTTATTAACTTTCTTCTGGTGCTCGGGAAACAAATATTTGATCATGAAATAGCCTTATTTGTATTTATATAGATATATAGGGATTCTTTAAAATATTAGGTCTGTCTTTTAGAACTATAAAAAATCCTGGGATGATGTTCAATAAAGCCATTTTAGAAGACAAGGAATGCAATCCTTATGATGTGTTTCAAACAACCTCTGTCGTGTATTCACCACTGGAAAACAAAACTTAGCAACATTTTGCTTGTTATATTTGTATCCTGCCTTTTATTCAGGAATTCAAGGCAACATACCTAGTAAACTTTCCTCCCATTACCTCCCAACAACTTTCTGAAGTAGTCTGAACTGGTTCAAAGTCATAGAGAAAGATCTGTGGTTAAGAGTAGGCTAGAATCTGGGTCTGCCCAGCACAAGTTCAACAGCATAATCACATAACAAACAGCATAATCAGTTTCAGCTGAATTCTGATTTCTCATAATCAGAAGTGAAGCCAAAGCAAAAACATAGTTTCCGTAATTGGACTACTAATATAACAAAAAGAGTCAGTTTGGTCTAGTGGTTAAAGCTAGCCAGGCTAGAAACTGGAAGACTGAGTTCAAGTCCTGCATTAGCCTGCCTGGACTACCCTAATGCTCTCTACATGGGGCTCCCCTTGAAGAGCACCCGGAGGCTCCAACTGGTCCAGAATGCAGCCGCGCGGGTGGTTATGGGGGCGACTCGGCGCTCCCATGTAACACTTCTCCTGCGTGAGCTGCCCTGGCTCCCGGTGGTCTTCCGGGTGCGCTTCAAGGTATTGGTTACCACCTTTAGAGCGCCCCATGGCTTAGGACCCGGGTATTTACGAGACCGCCTTCTGCCACCAATAGCCTCCCACCGACCAGTACGCTCCCACAGAGAGGGGCTCCTCAGGGTGCCGTCGGTCAAACAATGCCAACAGGCGACCCCCAGGGGGGAGAGGGGGGAGAGCCTTCTCTGTGGGGGCACCTATTCTCTGGAATGAGCTGCCCCCGGAGATACGGCGGATCCCGGATCTACGCACCTTTCGCTGTGCCCTAAAGATGTTTTTATTCCAACAAGCCGGGCTGGCCTAACTCTTTTAAATTGTTTTAATTTTTAAATTGTTTAATTATGGGTCTTAATACAGGGGTGCTTTTAATTGTGGGCCAAATTAATTTAATTGGATTTTAATACTGTTTTTAAATTTTGTATTTCTTGTGTTTTATCTGTTGGCTGTTCACCGCCCTGAGTCCTTCGGGAGAAGGGCGGTATATAAATATAAACAATAATAATAATAATAGCCATGAAAGCCAGCTGTGTGACTTTAGGCCAGTCACTCTCTTTCAGCCCAACCTACCTAACAGGGTTGTTGTTGCGGAGAAAATAGTAGGAGGAAAGTATATTGGATATGTTTTCCCCCTTAAGTTATTTGTAAAAATAATAAAGACAGGATACAAATTAAATAAAAATATAGCAGTAGCACTTAGACTTATGTACCTCTCCAGAGTACTTTACAGCACTCTCTGGGCAGTTTACAATGTCAGCATATTGCCCCCAACAATCTGAGTCCTCATTTTACCAATCTCTGAAGGATGGAAGGCTGAGTCAACCTTGAGCCCATCAGGATCGAACTCCAGGCTGTAGGCAGACTTTGCCTGCAATATTACATTCTAACCATTGCTCCACCACCAAATGTTTGTTATAAATCAGTAATTCTGTTCTATGAGCACAGTCTTTTTGCCACTAAATTTTTATATTCTTCCTCTGAGAAACAGTTAACAAATATATTTATAGTAGAACCTCTGGTCACGAATGCTTCTGACCATGACCAAATCGGGTTCTGACCAAAAAATTAAAAAAAAAAATTTTTTTTTTTGCAGCCAATTTCCCCTTCCATGCCATTTTTTTTTTTTTTTTTTTTTTTTTTGTAAGTGCCAAATTTCCAAAATTAGGTTCGGGTCCTGACCAAATCGGGTTGTGACCAAAAGTTATGGAATGAATTATAGTCATGACTAGAGGTTCTATTGTATGTAAGAAGGAAGTAAAATACAAAATACAGTTTTATGCAAATCAATTAACCAACATTTGCAGAAGGCCAATGGTGATACTAATCACAAATTGATATTTACCAACTGTAAGTCTACTTTATTTTCACAGGTTTAACAAAATTGCTCATACAAAGGAAACAATGAAATCTGATGGCCTAAACTCTCTGACTTACACCGTAATAAAAACTGATAAATTTCAATTATATACAAAAATCACAGTGGATATTGGATCACCAAAAAGCTAGTGTGGCAGAAATGCAATAGAAGACTTAGAATACCCAACGAGTGACAATTCAACTGTTCAGCATTCTATAAATGCTTTTATGCAATCAACTTGAAAGATGGACACCTGTTTTGTCATCCTGAGAACTTGCAGTTGGCAAGACAAATGAGAATTTTAACTCCAAATTTCGCTGTATATTTTTTTTCTTCATTTTTTAAACACTTTATAAACAATAAATAGAAGTTGTAAATATATGAATTTTCAGGGAATGGTTGGAGACTTAGGTGCTCAATCCCCCTGGAAGTTCTCCCATGAAAGCGTCACAAAAAAGAATGAAAGTTGTATTAAAGCATTCTTTCTTTTTTTTTCCCTTTCCAAAAAGCTCTCTTTTATGCCAGGAAGCTAACCTAAGAAGGATTCCTAGTGGATAGAGGCCTGTGTATTTGATAGGCATTCTCTCCACTTTAAAATAATGAGGGTCACAGTTTGGGAATGTTACTGTTTCCAAATTGTGAGGTGTTCTGCAGTGGTAAGTCATTTCCCTTTCTTCCTGCTTTTTTCCCAATTTAATTTAAAAATTAGATCACTGTATGAAAATTCACTGCCGTGGGTACAGATGGAAGGATTGAAAAATGCTGCTAAAGTGGTTTGAGTTTACATACTTTGATTTATCTTCCCCAAATCTTGTCAAAATTGTTCCTTCTTGTCTGTAACCTTCTGTGGGGTAAAGAGGAACTAGAAACCTCAAAACAAACAGCTTTGCATTCTGTTCTGCTGGCATGGAGATTTAAATAAGGCAGGCCTCTTTGCCCAAAAGTGTATCAGCAAGCCAAAATCTTGAAACCATGGTGCTTGCTTAAAAACTGGACCATCAGCCCAGTTTTTACACTGGGCTCACTGCACTATGGGGTGAAAGTATGAGTGAAATGTTTTCATCCTATCTGATTTCATGCAAAAATCAATCATGTTAGGTTGCTAATTGAAGCTTCCTAATTTTTGCTGGATTTAATTGGATGATTGTGGAGAAGTCAGGTTAAAATATGCACTATAACCCAGATCACGCAGCGTTCCTTCCCTAAGGTATAGAAAGGAGAAAGCGTGCGTCCCAAGTCTGACACTCAGGGTTAACGCATTGTGGTGTGACTTGTGAATATCAACTTCAAAGGCACAAGGGATGCTGATAGGTGGAAGGCACAGTTCATGGGTTGGTCCACAGAGGCAGAATATTGATAGGCCAGCAATACATAAATCTTAGCTTGCTTATGTGCTGTTGCTATTTGAAAATGAGCCACTTCTAGAAAGGACAAAGCCTGTGTGTAATGCTCAAACAGATGGCCTGCAAAACATCTGTTTTGGAATTAAACTGAACATTGTATTTATTCATGTGAGAAACATCTCTGTTCCTGTGGAACACTGATGGGGTCTCTCCCAAGCTAATTCTGCAAAGTTGTCCTTGTCTTAAGAACAGGAACTGGGAAATACGAATATTTGGCAAGAGTGAGACAGCTTTTACTCTCCAACTGACCAGAACTTGTCAACTCCGAGTCAGTCTGCTGGGATTTCCTCGTCCAATGGGAAGTTATGCTTCCAGATTTTCTCTAAATACAGCTGGTGGAGGGAGCCATTCAGTTTCCAGATAAAAAAAAGCGCAAAGTTCTTGCTTAGTTAAAACATATAGATGGGGCTCAGTCTTCCAACAAAATTGAGAGGAAGAATATTCTAAGCCTATTGGGACCATTTATTGCCTGAGTTGGTATGTTTACGTGTGATATTGGGATGTAAACCCTACCCAGGTGGTGGTAGGAGCACAGAAATGAAAGTTGCCCCAGGGACTAGACTCTGTAGTGAAGTCAAACCTTTTTGTGGGCAAAAAGTAACGACCACTTCTGGTTGTAAGCAATATGCTGCTTGCAAGGAATACGGCCAGGCAGAGGTAAATGATAACCTGAAGATTTGGGGTGCACTAACTAGTTTATCAGAGACCGTCTATGGAAGTGGGGAGGACTTTTTAACTTCCTTTTTGGTCTACCTGGCAAAATTGTAGCAGAGAGGTGTGCCAGTAACTAGAGCATAATCTCTAAGATAAGAGAACAGTTCAAATGGAATTTCTCAGAGAAGCCCATTCTTGATACTGCAAAACAAACTCGGTCCAACTAAGGACCAGTATATTGCCAGATTGCCTTACATGTGAATGGAAAGTTTTGTTTCATTTTCTACTGCTCTAATGCAATCTTTTTCTTACTGGAGCGTGGCAAATACTTTGCAATTCTGGTTTTATAAAGTGCCTTTTGGTTTTTAAAAATGATTTGTCAGGAATGTTTACTATTGTAAAAGCCTAAATGTTACAAAATGTCAAACAAAGGTATATTTTCTCAGTGTTTTGTGTAAAAAACTTGAAATTTGCTGCTGGGTTTTACTGTTAAAAATATTACAGGGGAATAGGGCTAAGGCAACTGCAGCATAAAATGACATGTTAGTATCATTAAATTAGCATAAGTGGCAGGCAATATCATGTTTTAACGAGATTTGATTTATAGAATCAGCCTTTACAAGAATGTTCAGTTTGCCTTACAAATATATTCATCTCCATGTCTGAAGAATCATAAATTATGACTTGTTGGGATGTTGTCATTTCTCCCACTCCATTATGAACTGTTGATGAAGACAATGAAGCATGCCTTGAGGATCAAAGTAGAATTTGCATCCCAGAACTCAACATCCTTGATTTTTACTTTCAAAAATACATGCTTTTATGAGAACATTTCCAGTGATTTCCTTCTATAAAAGGAGTAGCCTCCCAACAGCTTCAGCATTTTTATTATCAAGCAGATCCTCTCCAGTGATTAGGGACCTGCTCAGAACTCACATATTTTCAGGGAAGAGATAACTTTCAAGTTTGGCTTTCTCCTGTATGTGCCCTTCCTTTTTTTTTTTTTTTATGGAGGCAAAATAATTCGTTTTAAGAAAGTATCTTGGAGGATTGTAATATTCACATCCCTCAATAGTCAGGGAAAGGAAAACCTACTTTCTATCCTTCCGACCATCCATAGCTTTTCAACGCCACTTGTCCAACTGCATCACCAAAGGAAACCATTCCCAGTTCATTTCAATCAGCTTTTCATAACTGGTCTGCTTCAAATGTGTGTGGGGCACGTTTGACAACTCAAGGACACCAAATTGGCCAAGGTGGTTTTTGCTGCTTACAATAGAAGAGAATGTGCACGTTGGCCTCCAGTTTACTCATGTCTGAAGCAATCCCTGAAATAGAGCAGAGGCGCTCTCCCCGTTATCTCATTGGAAGCTATGTGTTTCCTAACTTCTCAAGCACATTGGCAGCCAGTTGTGTACCAGACGAAAGGTATTGTGTATAGCTCTTGGTATATGACATTCTTAAATTTTAGACTATGGAGAAAGTTGAATGGGAGAAGCAATTGGCTTCTTTATGCCAATTGCTTCCCTTTTTGTTCCTTTTACCACATGGAAGCAAATGGCCAAAATAAGCAACCCACCATTATTGGAGCAAGGGATCCCTTTGTGCTTTTGAGATGAAACCTCTTTTAAAAAACTCTAATAGAAATATTAAGCTTTTCCCAGAGTGAGATTAATTGAGGTAGGAAGGTGCAATTCCAGAGAGAAGGCCTTTCAAACAGATATTGGGTTTTCCAATGTGAAGAAGCTTCTCCAATCTGGTTATCCCCAGAAACATCAGGATACAACTCCCATCATTCTTGTCCAACGTCCTTAGTTTGCTGCCATGAAATCTGGGCTTTATCATAACATGATAGAACAAAGAGAGACTGGCAGGCAAGAATTATCTCTTGCTCTTATTTCACTACTCTTGCTTGATTTCTGAAGTGTATGTGACTGTAGTTAGTTATCTTTTACTGCCAACTTTAATTTTTTTTAATGTTCAGATCCAAATGCTTAATTTCCCCTTGCTGTACTGTGCTATCCTTTTAAGGTAAGAAATGTGCCATCCTTTTGAGGCAAGAAAAAAGTTTCTAATCTTAGGCAGACTGACAACAAAGAAGCAATTCTGATACCACTTACTCAAGGCCAGTGTTTCTCAACCTCAGCAATTTTAAGATGGGTGGACTTCAACTCCTAAAATTCCCCAGCCAGAATTTCTGGAAGTTGAAGTCCATGCATTAAAGGTGCTGAAGTTGAGAAATACTGGTCTAGGTAACAAGCTCTGCAATTCAGATTTCCTCTTCTTGTAGCATTTGGGAAAAAATTAAACTCTATTCAATATTTCTCTGAACTTGATATGTTTCTAAAATTTTCCTTGGTTTCTCCAGCTATAGAAGCAGGAGACACAATGTTTAATTGTCTGCATTAGCATTAGCTTTATCTGTAGACCTGTATTTGGGGCTCACATCCATCTGAGTCTCTGTTGCTGGGAAAACTGAATTTGTGATGTAAGTTAAATGAATTTTAAGGTTAGGGTTTTCTTCTATATTCTTTACTACACAACAGCTCCTAATGGCCTTAACAATTTCATGTACCCTGTAAATAAACACAATCTCCCTCCCAACCTCTTTTGGAAATTATAGAAATGAGAAGCTTTTGTAGACATTTTAGAATTAGATTAACCATTCTTAGTCAAAACACAAGCATGAAAAATTACAAATCAAAATGAAGGCTGAAATCCTGTAACATTCTGAGAACTTCTAACTGAATACAGATGATATTTACAGCTTGTCAGGGTTAATACGTTACATTAGACTTTGGTCAAACAAATTTGAGATGTAGTATATAGTCCGCTCCAGTCACTCAGTTCATTATGAGGACCACATTTCCATGGCAACAATATTGAAGTTATTTGCCACTGCTTTCTTCCTGGGATTTTATTTCAACTGTTGAATTTAAACTCTAGTTTTGTAAGGATTTCCTTGTGGTGTCCCATTCAAATGCTAATCAAGTACTGCACATTTCTGCTTTTCTGAGATCAGTTGACTTTTGCCCACATTCTGTTCTCTGCTGTGAAAAAACGTAATATAAAACCTCCCAGAGCCTTTTAATTGAAATAATATAGTAGGCTGAGTTTACAAGGTACAAGTTGTGATCTAACTTTTCATTTACCATTTCCTATTTTCACTAGACACGTGGATGCCTTTTAAAAATCAGGCTCAACTTCCAATATGGATACAGCAAATAGGTTTTCTAGCCTATAAATACACATTCCAGCAAGCAACTATTATGTTATCCATTATACAGCACATCTTAGACATGTGCTTACCTGTATGTAAGCGTGTGTGACTTGGATGTGCACATGAAAATCAGAGGAAATTGCCATAGAATCTTATTCAATAACCTGGTTATAATCTTCAAGGTGTTCGAGAGAAGTGCCTTAAAATATCTTGGGGAGTGATGGGGTAAAGGGATAAACTGTTTGCTCAGTTACTTTAGCATTGCTGTGGGTCATTTTTGCCTTTCCAGAAAACAGTATGAAAGAAATAATAAAATAAAAGAAATGTACAGTAACTACAATGTTTCTGCTGTTGTATTTAATTCCTTGATGTTTCTCCTCTTATTTCTTGTGATTGCATTACAAATAGTCAGCTAACATTTCTGTTTAATCTGTGAATCATCAGAACATACGGACTTTTGTTCTGTTTTCACTTTGCATGTGTGGTGTGTGAAGATACTTGAATAGCAAATGGGAAATTGGTATGTCTTCTTATCCCACTGGCAATTCTAATTCAAACAAGGTCGTCTTCTAAAACTATTTTTTAGTCTGACATCCAAGGCAGGGCAGCCAAGCTTTTCCCTGCACCGCTTAGTCATCTAGCAGTCCTGGATCCTGCAGGAAGACGACAGCTCATTCCCCTCCTTCATTTTGGATTGATTATAGGGTGGAGAGTGGAGAAGCCCACTCTGGCTGTTTTCAGGGGAAGGGCTCCTGCAGCTACCAACTAAACCAAAACCAGTCTTGTGAAAAGCAGGATGTGCAATGTCCTTTTCATTTATTGCAATTAAATGGCACAAAGCAAAAAATAAAAATAGTGAAAGTCATGATTATGGTTATATTTTCAGCTATTACAATAATCGCGGTCCTAAATGATAACCAAAACACTCATTTCCACAACCATTTGTATGGCTAGGTGTCACTGTCTGTGTTCCCTTCTATATTTATTTTATCCAGACATCTTGCAATCCTCGCAGTAAAGTCTGCCAGCTGGTATATTTTCAGAGCAACTTCATGTGGATCCACTGCCTGGATCTGTGTAGACTCCACAATTACATACAATTACATACAGGTAGTCCTCAACTTACGGTCACAACCGAGTCCACATTTTCTGTTGTTAAGTGAGATATTTGTTAAGTGAGTTTTGTCCCATTTTAGGACCTTTTTTGCCACAGTTGTTAAATGAATCACTGCAGCTGTTAAATTAGTAACATGGTTGTTAAGTGAATTTGGCTTCCCCATTGACCTTGCTTGTTAAAAGGTGGAAAAAAGGGATCATATGACTCGGGACACTGCAACTGTCATAACTATGAGTTGATTGCTAAGCATTTGATTTTTGAGCACATGACCATGTGGATGCTGCAATGGTCATAAGTGTGAAAAATGGTCACAAGGAACTTTTTTTAATGCTGTTGTAATTTTGAATGGTCACTAGATAAACTGTTGTAAGTCAAGGACTACCTGTATTTAAATGTATCAATAGAAAAAAAGTGTGTGCATGTGTATGTGTCTATGCCTATACATAGTCAGCTGGCATTCTGCACCTAAAACATTTTATTTCCTATGACCTCTCTGAACTGTGCAAACTGAGCAAAAATGCACCTCCCAGCACAGAGTCTAGCTGTAAATGGAATGGTTTGGAGGAAAAAAAATTTGAACTACAGAGTGATAATTTATCTTCTATTGCTAGTGCCTCTCCTCCTGGGCCCGAGTGTAGGAATGGGAAGGTGCCACTACAGGAATGTTTTCCATATGATTCCTGGCTGTACTCTGGATCAGGATCTTAAAAGATCCATTGTGTTGTTTCTTCAGTGCTGGTGAAGTTGTTATTGGAAAGGCTCGAGTTATATGTTGGCAGCTAGTTCCTGAAAGAACCAGTGAACTGTAAAATAACTCTATTGCCTATTGTTTTCAGGACTTGCTGATCGTTATGGGTATAAACAATTGGTATTTTCCGCTGATCAAATATTCATCCATTCATTACAGCATTGTCCCTCTGTTCGCAGGGCTGGGGAAATTATTATTGTTGCCTGTGTTAATATGTTAATATTGTGACATTCATTTATTTTTTTAATATATTGCTGGCAAAATAAAATGTTTTTGAATCAGCGCACTTGGTCACATTCTTGGAATGGAAGAGAGGGGGTTGTGTCCTGGTTCTTTTCTGAGATTAACCGGCATTAGTGTAACATGATAGTAATTCTAAGCAAAAAGGTAGGGGATTGTATGGTTTGGAATGAACAGATTCTATTATTTTGATTATTAAATAATCAGCTCATATTGAAAATGGCGCATGAGGATCCTGGATTCCTGTCCCGTTTTGGATTGATTTATTTAATGTGGGGAAGCATTCAAAATAGAAATACTCACATTGTATAATCAAACAACTGCATCACAAAATTATCCTAATTATCTGATCATGAATAATATTTAAGCAGACACATTTATTTCAGGGGGTTTCTATACACACAGCAGGAAAAGTCAAGTTTCACATCTAGGGGTTGCCATCTACCTTAAAAATGAACACAAGAGGATGACATTATCTAACCCAGGGGTGTCAAACTCAATTTCATTGAGGGCCGCATCAGGATTGTGTTTGACCTTGGGGGGCTGGGTGGGCATGGCCAGATCATTATTTGTGTCAGCACCTGTGGTGCCCTGAGCAGTCTGCCAGCAATAATGGTCTCCTGGGCTCTGTTTTTGGCTGCGACAGCCTCCTGCAACCCTCTGCCAGTGAAAATGCGGCCCTCCTGAGCTCCATTTTCACTGGCAGAGGGTTGCAGGAGGCCGTCGCAGCCAAAAACAGAGCTCGGGAGACCATTATCACTGGCAGAGACACCACAGGCAGGTCCTTCACTGTTTCCAGGGTGGCCGGATCCTTGAGTTTGACACCCCGATCTAACTCATCCATGAGCCATCAATACCGTTTTTTATCTGAAGGTTTTATTTCACACATACGCATGCACATGTTTGCTACATGCCTTATGACAGTCTTCAAGGGACACACATTCTCTCCCCACCCCACTTGGTTTAAGGAGCATAACAACTGAACTTTGAATTTTACAGGAACTTGGCAGAGAGAAATGTTTATTTTTCTCTGTGTTCAGGCTAATGTAAATTTGTATATGTGGTTTACATTTAACCACAATGTTTCCAGTCAAGTAACATACAAAAAGTGGAGGGATTTTCCATCTTAAACATGTTTCATTGAATCGTAGGGCTGGAAGGGATCTCGGAGGTCTTCTAGTCCAACCCCCTGCTCAAGGCAGTAGCCCGGAGTGAAATGCTCCCGGTTCGGACCTGATCGCCCAATCCGGTAGCGATGGTGCTGGATGGTTCTGAGAACCGGTAGCAAAAATCCCTGCCCTCCCCCCATGCCCAGCTGAGTCGCGCAATCATCAGAGGCTTTTTTTTATTTTTAAAAGCATTTTTTCTACAACCTCTTCGGCCAAAGAGGCTGTAGAAAAAATGCTTTTAAAAGTTAAAAAAAAAAAGTTGCACACGCCCATCCAGTCACATTACCCTCCCCCCCAAGCCATGCCCACAGAGCTGGTAGTAACAAATTTTACATTTCACCACTGCAGTAGCCTATACCATCCCAGTCAAATCTATCTGTTTTTCTGATAAAATATCCTCACTCCCCTGACCCTAATCTCCAAAGAAGTATCTCTGCCAGAGAACCAAATAACTGGGCGACCTCTTTGGTTTAGTACGTCAAGATTAGAACAAATGGCAAATGATTGGATTTCCAGAATGTTCTAAATCTTGACTAATATATTGCTAACAATGAGGAAGAGGAGGATGCAAAGGCCCAGGTCAATCACAGTTGGTGATTCTGGATTTTTCCTTTTTTTCCAGGGTTTTCTGAGTTGGGAGGGTTTCCATGATTGCTCCTCCCCAATTGTATTTAGCCCATTATCAGGTTCATACTACAGCATGCTGTAGATGAATCTGTTGTCCACATCTGTGCTACATTTGGGTTGGGGTATTCAAAAGTTTCTACTAGGGGGGAATGAATCACACTGTGAGGATCTTCATTACTGTACACACGTGGGCAGAACTAAGATTTTTCCTTTTGGGAGTTTTGTTTTTGGTAGGGGAAGGTCTTTATATTTTAAATAGTGGTAAAGTCTATTTCATGGTTTGCACTGCCATTGGCATGAATTTCCTGCCTCAAAATCCAGGGATTTTTCAGTAACCAACAGCGGAAACAAAGTGACATGAATTTATGGGAAGTCGTCAAAAGGGTATTAATGACCACAAATCAAAGCAAAAGAAATCAAATTATGACTTACTGCAATACAAAAAAATCTAGTTCTGCTGTGTTCTGGTAAGAAGAATTCGGAGGAATTTTTTTATTTATTTAAATGTCTCTTGTAGGCTATTTTTACTCTTTGGCTTTATGCCACATCTTCACTCATCTCGGGTGTGTTCTATTCCAGCTAATTTTCTGTTCCTTGTTCCTCCCTAAAATTTATTGTTGCATCACATTTGAGAGTGATGCAATCATTTCCAAGAAAGTGGCATAGGAAGTTTCCAGATGTAGCAGGGGAGATGCACTTGCATTTCCAAAATTCCTGACTAGTGGGCAGAGGACCAGCTATTCTTTCCCCTTAAGAGCTCTAGGAATCCTTAGAGCAGAGGTGTCAAACTCAAGGCCCAGGGGTCAGATCTGGCCTGTGGGGTACTTAGATCTGGCCCACAGGGCCGCCATGGAAACAGAGAAGGACTGGCCCACAGTGTTTCTGCCAGCAAAAACGGGCTCCAAGCTCCGTTCTCATGGGTAGAGGGTTGCAGGAGACCATGGCAACTGAAAATGGAGCTCTGGAGCCCGTTTTCACTGGCAGATTGCTTGCGTGACCACAGGTGCCCTGAACAGGAGTGATGTTGAGCAGGCCACGCCCACCTTGGCCACGCCGTGTCCCCCCCGAAGTCAAACAACCCTGATGCGGCCCTCAATGAAATCGAGTTTGACACACCTGCCTTAGAGTAATCAGCATTTGGCTGCTGAGCTGGGAGCCCAAAATGATTCTATCTTGAAGTGGCTTCTTCCACAAAGGTGAGAAAAGAAAGAAGGAAGGAAAGAAATGTAGCCAATGTTCGCTTATTGCAAACATTCTTGTATCTGGGAAGAATCAAATTTTCTGCTTTGGTAACTCTCCCCTCAAGTATGTTCATAATGTTTACTCACCCAAGTATAACGAGACAGCCTCAATTTCCTGAAATCAATTAACTAGGCTTTAACAGGTCCTCATTTACAGTATAATGAAGGAAATCCTATAAGGCTCATAGATTTAAGTTGTGGGGCTGCTTATTGCAATGTATTTGATATTGCCAAGATAACAGAATAAGCAACGAGGCCTTGTGAACTGGGGGGGGGGGCAGAGGTGGTTGAGGGTTTTTTAATTAAAGTTTTCTTCTAATATTAGCAACTGCTAGAGCCAAGAATAAATCAACTCAGAGGTTGAATTTTGCAGGAGACTTCAATGGGATAATAAAAGCCAAATCCTACAGCAGGAAAAAAATCCATTCTGGAATCTGTAGAACTTATTTGAATTATGCAAACATATGCAATTACTCATGTTTTGCATCAACAGTTATAATTTGGTTGGGAAGAAAATTCAAGAAAATTGGTGGTATGGTTTTACTGTTGCCAAATACTGGTTTAAAATTCATAGGAATGTCTGCAAATTTTAAGGGCAATTCCTACTTGTCCAAAACACATTTGTTCATCTGAGTTATAGCACAGTTTTTGAGACTTACCAAGGATCTTTATCAAGGATTATAGCAGGGGTGAAATCCAGCAGGTTCTGGAGAACCAGTAGCGGAAATTTTGAATAATTCGGAGAACCGGCAAATACCACCTGTGGCTGGCCCCAGGGTGGGGTGGGAATGGAAATTTTGCAATATCCTTCCCCCAGGAGTAGGGAGGGAATGGAGATTTTGCAATATCCTTCCCCCTGGAGTGGGGAGGGAATGGGGATTTTGCAGTATCCTTCCCTTGCCATGCCTACCAAGCCACGCCCACAGAACCGGTAGTAAAAAAATTTGGATTTCACCACTGGATTATAGATAGTTGGAGCATAAGGAAAGACACGTGGAAATATTAGATAATGAATGTATTCTCAATTCATAGCAGTGACTTGCTGAAATGTTTAAAGTACTGTAATTCTTTTTTAACAGAGCAGTAAAGAGGAAGAATTTGTGGCAATGTGGTAACCACTTGCTTTAGTTTATTCATTTTGTCATCCTGTTAATTTAAAGTATTGTCACATATAAATGCCTAACTCCCAGACCATCCACCCTCTGGTACATCAAGGGTTAACACCCACACCCTCTCCCTCACTACAGCTCCTCCTTACCTTTAGCCACACCTCCTGGGTACTTAAGGGGCACACACGAGGGCATCAAGTTCTACAGCAACATCTGTAAGAGAGCATATGATTGAACCATATCAATGACTCTGAGTATCTTTGGGCTAGATTCTGGTATATTAACAAGTATTTGCTTTGTTAATTTGCTAAATATATTTTCTTTTAATTCCTAGGTTGACATATAATATCTATTTTATTTTATAAATATATATATTAATAAATCATACATACATACATAAATATCATTCTCTTTCTCAGTATTGAAAGCCATGTTTTACAAAAATGTGTAAAAAAATAATAAGCCAAATAAAGGCAGAGATAAGAAAAACAGAAAAGAAAATCTAAGAATAGTTTACATCTTGATATTTTGCTAGAGTTCTTACTATTTTTGCAAACCATTATTTTTGTCTAACATGTCCCATACACTGATTTGTATTTTTAATCTTTTCCCTTCTTTTTTTATTAGTTACAGCTCATTAATCCACTCAATCACGATATTTTGATCTTTTCCTTTTTTTTTCAACCGCTTTGTTTTGCCAAACCATATCAATCTCCTTTTTTTACACTGGTTAATAATTTTTGTATGCAATTTGTATTTACTTGCACACATTCATTTTTGACCAGATCTCTTGGTTTTCTATGCTTCCTAAGAAGCAGACTGTATTCAACTTGTTTTTGAAATACCCAGCTTTCCTTGTAAAATAGAAAGCACCATGTCATATATACAGCTATTTT